CTCCGCGTCACCCTAGCGCCATTTTGGAGAGTATGCACTGAACGCAAACAGCGTTTGTTGTTCTGTGTCAGCCGCACCACACGGATACTAGGGGTGGGAATCACCAGAGGCCTCACGATACGATATTATCACGATACTTGTGTCACGATACAATATTATTGCGATTTTAAATATATTGCGATATTCTGGGATATATTGCAATTTATTACCTTTTTCCAACTTCAAATTATGTCCCCAAAGGAAAACTTTGACAACATCTGTTTAAACTAAAAAAGAAACATTCTGTCAGCGCGTTATTTGAGCGGACTTTGCTTTTCCGATGAGCATGAGCGGTTCATAGATCAGAATATTGAGCGGAGCGTCAAACCGCGCAGTGACGAGGAGAGTGAAATATGCGCGCTGAACACTGCTGGGCGGGGCGTGACGCGGTGCGCCATATATTATTATTATTATTATATGTAGCCTATATTTTCGGTGCATCCCTACTTACATCCCCTCCTTGTTTACAAATCCGAAGTAAGTCCATACATCCGATTTAAACGCGGACGGGGCTTTCCTGATAACTTTCCGCGATGCCACCCCAGTATACGTGATTGATACAGTATTGCCGCGGAAAATATTGCGATACTATGCTGTATCGATTTTTTCCCCCACCCCTAACGGATACGTTTTTTCGTTCAAATCAAAGCACAAACAACATAGAAAACGTATCCGCATGGCGCAGCTGACACAGAACAACATACGCTGTTTGCATTCAGTGCATACTCTCCAAAATGGCGCTACAGGGTGATGCGGAGGAGACGAATTGTTGAATAAAGTCGTTTTTTTTTTCTTTTGCGCACAAAAAGTATTCTCGTAGCTTCATAATACAAAAAGTATTCTCGTAGCTTTACGGTTGAACCCCTGATGTCACATGAATTATTTTACCGATCTCCTTGCTACGTTTCTGGACGTTGATCGTGGTAGTACCCTTGCTGTCTATGTGAGGATCAGAGATCTGTCAGATTCCATCAAAAATATCTTAATTTGTGTTCCGAAGATGAACGGAGGTCTTACGGGTTTGAAACGAGGATGAGTAATTAATGACAGAATTTTCATTTTGGGGTGAACTATCCCTTTAACCGCAAGAGTGAGATGATCTATCAGATGCTGTATTACTCAGAACATATTGTTTTAGAAAACACATTTTTTATGTGTTTTATTTATTAATTATCACATAATTAATACCTTTATATCAACGAGGTGGCATCAACAGTCTTCAAATGTGAAGAAAGTTTTTATATTTTGGTTAAATATTATGCAAACCTTTTTTCCTTAACAATATGAACAATAACCTCACTTTTAAAAACAGTTGTGTCCTGTTATTGACTTTTGTGCCTTCTTTAATGAGACTGCTGATTTTACGAACTTGTCAGGAGGGAAATATCATAACCTTGACGCTAAACAACAACAAAATAGTTTTTCTTTGTTTTTACCCATGAGGCAACAGAACAAATGTTTCAGTGTCATTTTGAAGGTCCAAAAGTATTTAACTGATATAACAGATCTCTTCAATTAGCACATTTTCATAAATGAATGGGCATATGCATGCTTTGGTGCTTTAGTCTTTCATATTTGGAGTATCTTTGTAGTGTAGTGTTTTATTACGATTTACATATATTGTACATTTATATATACAGTACGTGTGTGAAAAATCACAGGTCGTTTTTTTATAATTGGTCCTTCCTAAACATATGGTCATGTGACCAAAATTGTCCACAGTTTGCAAGATTAAGGGTGCGACACATCTTACCCCACTCTCAATTGTCCATTATTCTGCACTTGAGGCATCAGTAGCAAAAGCTGCCGAGTTGATTTTCAATCATTTCTCTCTCTCTTTTTCATCAGCACCAGCAAGATTGGTCACATCTCGTCCCATCACCTCTCACACTGTCGCCTCATCCGCGCCTCCCGCAGTGCGTCCCATCAGCAAAATGCCCGCCCCCCTTTCTAAAACGACCTCCACTCACCTCCCGCCGGAGTCCAACGAAGCTCCAAGCAAGACCTCAGTCACCAAAGCCGCCACCAGCACAAGTCAGAGAACTGGCAAGTACTTGTTTCCATTGTTCTGTCTCTACATGTCCACAGATGGCCAGGAAACAAAACCGTGAGGGTTTCGTTCGGAGCCAAATCGCCCACTGCTGGTGTCATGACATTGCAGAAAACGATTCTTTGTCTTTCCCCGACGCAGCGTGATGTCCCTTCATTCCCCCTAGAGTCATTTCCTGCGCTGGGTTTTTGCGTGTGATGTTCCCAGGAAATGACTTTCATCCAGCTGCTAAGCACAAAGCAAGACAAGGCCTGCTGGTGTGCCTTTGTGCCCACACCTCTTACCCTCTCTCGTCTTGGTATAATGCCTGAAATTAGCGATTCTAATTAGCCATGCCAGGCGTTCAGACTCTCTATGAAACTTAACAGAGCAAGGTTAGGTAAAGGACGCTTCTCACTCTCTGTTTGGAAGAGTAATAGTCAAGAGACCCATAGTCAAATCTGTTTGGTATTGCATGTATTGTCCCATAGGAAAAAGTGAAATTACAAATATCTGTAATATCTCTATACTGAGATGCAAATAAAAGTTTTTGTTAAGTCTCAGATTTCTAATTTTTCACATTTTAGAGGAGACTCTAAAAATTAATACTGGCACTTTTTTCTCAGGAGAAAACTAAAATCTAAGATGCAGGAGATTAAAACAAAATCTCAATTTGATCCCATCAACTCGATTGTCTAGGAGAAATAACTGAGATGTTAAAGAGATTTCCGGAGATAATCTTTTTAGTAGTCTTCTATAGAGTTTTGGAAAAGATCTGATGTTCCAAACTGTGCTCACATTTGCCAAGATACCAGAGTCTCCAATCAATATGTTCTCAATATGAACTCTAACATTTTTCAGCAAATTCTTGTTGACATCTTTAGCTCTAGAGGCGAAATTACTGGGGTCTTTTCCTTAGGACATAACAAGTGTCTCAATTTGATCCCCTCACTGGTGTCTAGGAGAAACAACTGAGATATTAAAGAGACCTCCTGAGAAAAAAAGAAAAATGTAGGATTTCTCATCAAATTTTTTCAAAACAAAACAATTTGAGCTATGCGAAACTCCATTACATTATTGATCTTAAACCAGCCATGTTAACCTAAACATGGTTAGGAAAAAGATTCATTTCAATTGGAATGTTGTTATTTTCCTCACCCAGGCCTGTCAAAGACAAAGACACAAGAAATAGAGCACACAAATCATGAGACCTATGTTTATGGCACTTTGTTGCAAATAGCTCAGGGGCCTAACAATATTTGCTGGGACTGGCACAACAGGCCCCTGGAGGACATCAGGATGGGGAACGTAAATTGGCTTTATGGCTCTATTCGCTCTCCTCATCTTCCCTCTCTTCTCCCTTTCACTCCCTCAGGTTATGTCCTCTGGGAATAAAATGGAAAGAAAGTAAGATGAGACATCAACCAGAGAGACTTGAGGGGGTTTCCGGGGAATATTTGTACTCTAACCAGCTTTGCAAAGACATCTTTGAAGCCTTTTTTTTTTTTTACCACATCATCTTTCAATATTTGTCTCAACATTTTGTTTGATTTTCTTCTTTGAAAATTGTTTTAGAGAAATAAAAAGAGGCAAATGAGACTTGCATACCTTAAGACTTTAGGGTTACAGAATTAACATGGATAGCATACTTTTTGGATCATTTGGTCTATAAAGATTTTCATTAGAAATATGAGAAAAATTAGAATTTTGACTTTATTACTGCAAATATAAGCACAGTTTGACAATGTCAAATTCTTAGACTCTTAAGCAGGCATATTTGAGATTACTAAGGGTGCTTTCACACCTGGCCCATTGTTTCGGAACCTGGCGCGTTTCCCCCCTTAGCTCGGTTCGTTTGAGCATATGTGACACAGCAAATCGCGCCCGGATCCGCGCCAAAACAATCGGTCCGAGATCGCCTGTACGAGGTGGTCTCTGCTCGATTGAAAACGAACTCTGGAGCGGTTCGGTTGTAGTGAGAAAGCAATCCGATCTAACGGACCAACGAACCAGGCTATATCACAATGTATAATGGGTAATTACGTAAGTTCCGTGAAAAGCATTAGCTTTGTTGTTTTGCTAATACCTCAAAATGAACCTGTGAATGTCTGTGGGTGAGCACGTCTTTGCCATTCAAAATCAAATCGCACTTTTTCATTTTATAACGCCCTCTTATTGCTCTTCTTCCTAGTAGGTGCATTTTAAAAATGTTTTCCCAATCAATCCTGGACTCCTGCTCAAAATGATAAATTAATATAACGACAGCTACAAAAGGAAATTAGGAGAAAACAGCAAGGAAGTGTTAGTTAAGTTTGGGGTTTGGAGAGACAATGGCCGTTTCTCAAACGGAAGGTTGCATCCTCCAGAGGTCGCATTTGTAGGCTGCATACATCATAAAGATTATCTTATTTTATAATATTAACAGTTATAAATTTGACCATTATTCTTAGTGAAGCATAAATTGTTGTAATATACTTATGACTCGCGAATGTAATGCTCAGTTAACTGAAATAAACCAGGCTTGATGACGTATGCAGCCTGC